TATATACAATATATATATCTCAGTTTTTGGAGGCAAGAATTGTGTTTTGTGCTCGTATAATATGTATACGGATCGATCTGGTTTATAATGCATGGAAGATTAAGAAATTTCGACGATTTACGATCGGGCACGATAATGCGTCGCTCGCACGAAATAGAAGATGCAGCATACTGGTTGCGTGTTCGCATTTCACGCACCTCTCGGCGATGATTCGTATGCGCTGGCGGAAAAAAAATAAAATTTCTGTTGCCGCCTACATCGTCGTATCGATACGCGATACTATCGTCATTCTCCGATTATCGATTTTATCATGCCTCAATAAGATTGCGCGATCGCAGCAAACGCGATATTCTCGCTTTCGTCACGGAGATATTGTTCCTTCGCTAAGTTTAGGTTAACATACCGTTTCGAATAATAGTGTAATTCAATATGAAATACACATAGGGTGTATCGGTCAGAGCGCGATTTCTCATTCTGTAATTTAAAAAAAAAAATGCGCTATATATTTTTAAGAGATCTTAAACGATGCGGATAAGATTGCAGAAACTATTAGAACTGGAAGAACACAATTAACTTCTTTCAATCTTTAATAACGATAATTTTGGCGTGAATAAACAGCTTTTTTTATAGATGCAATTGGTCATTATAAAAAAAAAAATGAATTTTAAAGAAACTTAAAAAGATAACAAGAGAATACATAAGCATTAAATTATTTATGACAGGTAAAGTATGTAAATATTCTCACATAAATTCCATCTTACTACAGCAACAATACAAAGATCAATGTAGTTATATTAATCATTAATATCATTGATCTAATCTAAATCTCATATTCTCAACAATTAGATTCAAAATCTTCACTTTCACAGATACAGAGAAAATTGTAATTTTCGTTCAAAATTCCAAAATACCGGAGGCATAATTGTTCGATAGAGGAAGGAGGAAAACTCACGGGCATCGGAGGGTGAAGTCCGCGGAACGCGGAATTGCTCCATTTGCGTTGCCTGGCCGGGTGATAGTGGCTGCTTCTATTGTAGGCGCTGTTGTTCTGATGATTGCCATACGACGAGCGCATAGTGGGTCGAAAACCCGGGTACGGCACGCCGTGCTGAAAGTCGCCGGCGTCGAAGCGATGATGATGGGGCTCGTGCAGGAAGCTGTCGTTGGGGATCGGTGGCATTCTGCCGTAGGCAGCGGCGGCAGCAGCGGCGGCCGCGTGTCTATCGACATGCGACGGCGTCGTCTGCTCGTGACCATCACCGATCTTGCTGATCGGCCCATCCGGCGAGGGACGTCCGGTCGGGAACGACGCTGGTATCATCGCCGGATGGTGCCCGTAAAAGGGAGGAAAGCCGAAGGAGTTGGGCAGCCCCACGGTACGGTATCCCTGATGAGGCGGTGGTGGCGGCGGTGGCGGTTGTCCGGAAGTGTCCAGAACGTAGCCCGGCTTCTTGTCGCCGTGATAATGATAACCGTCGCCGCTCGGCAGCTGCCGCTGATAATCCTCCCGAGGCTCGCCTTTGACCTCGACACCGGCCTCCGTGGGCTCGGGCATCTCGACTTTAACCCTCACGCCGTCGTTCCTGTCCACGCCGGGTTCGCTCTTGATCGCGAAACCGACCGGCGATTTCGCTAGGGGACTCGCTGTGCTGGAGTCCTCGTCGCAACCTACGCTGGCCTGCTGCATCCTCGGGAGGTTCACGCCGACTCGACGCCGCGGCGGCGTTTCTCGTACAACCACGACGGCGTCATTGTCCTATAAATTGGTATCCTATGATTGTCGGACTACGGTTGTTGCAGGGCGAAAAAAATCGGTGGTTGGTTCGTTGCAGAATTGCGGAAGCAAAGCGAGATAAAAAAACACTGTGATGGACGAACGATAATAGAATAGGATGCGCATTATTTAGTGACGCAGAAATTATTTAAACACTGGAATGATCTAACCGTGAATTCCGTGAATCCGTAATTAATAGATAAAAGGAGCATCTCGTTATCTTCGCTCGCAAGAATATTGCGTCGCATAGTCCATAGGTGCGAGAATTCAGTCAGATCGTCGCACAAGTAACGCATTCGGTGAGCGCAGTAAGCGCATAGTTGATATATAATCCTTCGAAGCATTCATGATCGTCTTAGTCCTACAGGATTCTCCGGTGCGATTCCGCGTGGAAATTCTCACGTACGTCCTACGAACACGCGTGTAAATCTCTCAGGACGGACGTCGTCGTCCGTGGACAATAAGTTCGTCCACAGAAGCGTGGCTTGGTCGCGCTGGATTTTGGTCGCGTGGAGGGGAGAGCACGAGAGGAGGGCAAGGGCGGCGTGACAGTTCCGTGTCACGTGTCCACCAACCTTAGGCCCCGCCTACGACCCTGATTTCCCTAACGTGTCGGATCGTTACTTGGCCCTTCCGAATTCGTCATTCGTCGTTCG